TTATAACTGAGTAAGTATAAAAATTCTGTTTAATTTTATATAAATTATTATATTCAAAATTTCATATCTGATAAAAAAAATAATTTGTTTAACAAAATTAGTAACATTGAGATTCTTCATTCCATGAAGTGAAACTCCTTCCTTGGTAACAGACCATAAACATATCTACAGAAAGCAACAGTTATATATTTAAATTTGTAATTTAAAAAAAAAAAGTAAATATACAGGATTAATCATTGCATTTTTTATGGCTAGGTCTAAATTTTTCAAATATTTTATGAACTAGCTAAACTTTTTACATGAAGGAGTCTTTTGTAACATTGTCACAAGTTACATGGGTTTGAAAGATGTTTGTTTACAAATACTGTATAAACATTGAATAACCCAATTATTCATTAATACCAAATGATCTGCCAGATTGTATTGGGCTATATTATCGCTACATTTAATAATTAAGTATAGAGTAAGTACACAATTAAGTTGCCATCTCATAATAAATTTAATAATTATAAATAAATTAATATTTAATTTAGAAAGTTATGGAAGAAAAGAATCAGCCTATAGTGGAATGCAAACCTGTTGATGCATTGCCATTTGCCAGTTATGCTATTCAAACCTTGGTCTAATCTTCACCTCCAGAACTATTAATAATTTCGATATAATCATACTGGTTACTCAGTGTGTAAATTTATATAACCATACTGTTACTTGTCACTTAATAAATTTATTACAAGATGGTTACTTATTGTCTACCTCTTTGCAAAATTATTATTAAATGTAGCCATAATATAACCCGATACATTCCAGCAGGTTGTTTAAAGGTTTGTTTGAATGACATAACAGAACTGAATTTTTATATCTATTTGTTTATATAAATTTTAAACAGAACAATTTTGAATGAGAGATATTTCAAGTTTATGGATAAAGTTGATTAAAAATAAACTCATATACAAGTTAAAGGTGTAACGGGATAATTGTTAAATCTAAATCACCCAGTTATTTTTGGGATGTTTTAAGGATAATTTTAAGTAGCATCAAAATATGATTTAAACACAGACAATTGTGCAGCCATCCAGTATAAAGATTATGGAGTCAAATTATGATAATTATTTAAAGTCAACCTTAATATAACCAAAATATATGCTTTTAAAATGATGATACCTCTATTTATCTATTTTATCAAGACAATTCGGAAAATTTTTAAATGCAATTTATTAATGTGCAAATTTTCTGTGTGGGAGGAACAAGAGAAAATTGTTTTGAGTAAGCCTAATTAGTAATATAGGCAAGAATATTAAAAACTTAAAATATCATCAAGATGAGCTATTGATGTATTTAACTGCTCCTACAATAATAGAAATATTGGATATTGGATGCATAATATTGGTCAGTTCCAATTCCTATCCAATAATCGAGCAATCACTAACTTGGATTGTCTATTTTAGTTTTTAAGTTTCCTTTGAATTTTTGTTTTAAAAAATATCAGTGAGACAAATCAGCATATTTAAATTATGGCATAGTAAACACTAGTATTGTGTTTTATTCCAAAGACACATGGCAAGTTTTCCATCAAATTCCTTTATTAGTTGAGTCGATACAGTACATTGTTTTGTACTTGTTTTGGGCTTTGCCCCTTTTCAGTCACAAATATGTGAGCCGTTCACAGCCCGGCACACATATTTGTAAAATCTAAGTGACTCGTACAACACGGTATTTATATAAAACTGAATTATCAACAGTGTTATAGGGGAGTAGACTATATATTAACAATAAGTTGAGTTCATTATTCTCTATAAATGCAATAATATCTGTTGATTATTAAATGATTTACTAATTAAATCTAGATTGATCAAGAAAATGAATGCTTAAAATGGTATTTGAATTGGTGTTTTTATTCTTATATTTTATATTTTTATGTTTTGTGTAGTTGAGAATTGATGCTTTGAGATTCAATTTCTTATCTGATCTTCATTAAATTGAATAATTCATAAATTATTTAACACTCAAACATTCCAAGTTAAAAGTATTTAAGATTCATTTCTAAGATTCAATATGAAGAAATTGTTCTAAATGAAAATTATCATTTATTTATTTAATCTGCTTGATTTGTATTCATAATGTCAACTATGACTAAGAAGGCTGCTTAGACCTATACTTTGTTACTGTTGCTTAATTAATGTTACTATACATATAAATTTAAATACTTGCACTATTATTTAATTTAAATAATAGCGTTTTGTCTTATGTTTATAGCTAAATAAATAAAACCAATTCAAACTGTACTTCACAGTATAAAAAGTTTTTTAGAAATCTTTTGTGTGTTTAGACTATACACCAGAGTTGGTCTGAAGAAAAGTGTAGCCTGGTAGCCTGATACAAACTTCTCATGTGGAGTCATTTAGATTTTATTACTACTACTACTACTTCTACTAAAAAATGTTTAATTAGTTGTTTAATAAGATTAATTTTTATTTATAAGATAAAAAGCAAGAAAAACAATCTTTTTATTTATATATGAAATAAATATTTACATTCCTATTTTATTTCTTCATTTTCTTGTATCTGTGTTTTACATATATATATAAGAAAATGGAAGTTATATACAGTATATAGGTATTCCTTGATTAACACAGTTAATTAATCTCTTGATGCTACCACATATATCAGAATTGCGCTAATCAAAACTTCTGTCACATATATAAAGGGATTGCCTCAATTAATTTCATGTGTTAATCAAATCCCCCATTAAGCAAGGGATACCTGTATTTCAAATTATTGAGGCCTCGTGCTAGTGCAACATTTGCACTCCTTCGGACTGGCCCTTCTGTATGATCATCGTCAGGAATTGTTTTTAGCTCCTGATAATGGATGGACATATACTTGAAAGTATGGTATTTGCATTTTTTAAAACATATTCTGAGAAAGCAGTTTGAATTTGTTTTGATTAATTAATAAACAAGGTTCATAATGCTTTATGGTAATAGAAAATAGTTAACAGTATCAACTCTTTCAAATTGTGAGAAAATAGCGATTGAAGAATTGAGAAGAGCTTCATGTTGAGCTTGACGTTGTGATGCTGTTTCCGCAGCCCTTGACAAAGCCATTTGATGTTGCTCAATTGGACTTTACAGCCTTCAGGAGTCTCGATTGTTCTTATTCTTTTAGATCTAAAATTTACCTGTCCAATTTTACTCTTACGCATGAATTTTACATACAGTACATATGTTAATTAGATGAGCAATAGCACTTCCTAAATAAAAGTTTAAAATATGTCATTTGCCAAAATGTTTAAAACTGCAACTTAAGGGAAATTCCTTTGTCAAGCATGAACTAAATGAGGATGTTGGCTGGTGTTACTGCAGTGTAAGTGCGATCACCGATCCAAAATCGAGAAAATGTTTATTTTATATCTAATATTTCAACAAAAAGCTTTTTTAAATTTCTATTATAATATAATCATGTTCATCAATAAACTACTCAAAACAGTTAGAAAATATTGCTGTTTTGGTTCAGTACTTAAAGAAAAAAAGACTACAATTTTTAATTATTATGAAAATTAATTTTGAATATTAGAAAAAAGCTAATTTTGTTAAAGTTTCTGTAAACAGTGTATTAAACTTCCTGTTGTAGTTTTATGACTTAATGGTCTAGTGGGGGCATGTGACATCCTGCAGCTGCTAGAACAATAGTGCACCTGGCAATGAAAAAGTAGAAATATTCATTGTAAATAACATCACATACAGATTATAAAACATTAAAATGAAGTTGATGGATGTGATTTTTCATAAAATTAAATTTGATGTCACAATATCCCTGATTGTTTTGAGTTTGTAGTGTGCTATTGTGAGGTATTGTTTATCATATAATATCATTTGCTATTACTTTATTCATTTCTAATAAAACAATTGATTAGCATGTTTTAAAAATTTTGTCATTAATATCTTCTACTTATATTACTAAATATATCACTTATAGATTATAAATATAACAAATTCTTATAAAAGTATTTGTTTTTTCCAAGAATAATTCAAAGGCTCACATCATTTATGAGTGCTTATTTATATAATGTACTGTACTGTACATAAAATACATGACTGCCATTAATTATTTATAATACAAGATTTAAGAATTTAATCTTATTGTTTTTTTGTAAATGAAACAAAAAAGTTTAATTAAAGATCATAATTAAATTTTCATAAAAATGAATTATTCTTATGAAAGTTTAACATGCAAAGTTAGCTTCTAAAAATTTTCTTCGGCTAATCTCCTGTACTGCATTAATGTAATTATTTTTTCATCATAATGGCTGCTTACCATGTTTAACATTTAAATCATTCTTTGAAATAACGCTTAATTAACAGGCTGTTAATTATAATGATAATTTCTTTTCGTGCTGTGGATTTACATAAGATAAATCGGGCATGGAAACCTTCCTGCTGTAAAGGTCCAAATGACACTATTTTGACATGTGTTCAGTTTGAAACACTGAAAACATTGGATTTTATATAATAAAACTACAATTTTTAAATGAATAAAAATTATACATGAAAAAATATATTTTAGTTTAAACATAATTATTCTCACTAGAAAGCATTCAGACTCAAAAATGTTTGTCATTCCTGTTCTACTCAATTAATAAAACTCATTTATTACAATTGGCATACAGTCACATTGTGGTTATCAAGTCTATTAACTTATAAAGCAAATGTGAATGTTAAGAATAATTAATTTTCAAACTTATTGCTTGTCACATAATGACTTTTGTTCGTTAAACACTCAGACATTGTAAATTATGACGAATACACTTAAGGATCTTGATGTTATGCAAACTTAAGATGAAAATCAGGGGTTTGCGGGTTTCTTTCTTACTCTGAATTACTCTTTTTCTTATATATGAGTGTATTTTTTATAATAAATCATATTTAATTATTATTCTGAATGCATATGTTAAATGAAAGTAATTTTATAAAATTTATCAACTAATTTATTTTCATTTGCAGCCTAAAGAATTGCCAGACAAATGGCAGCATGACATGTTTGATGGCGGTGTTGGTCAACGAATCACAACTGGACCGACTAAACTTTTGGTATCCAATTTAGATTATGGTGTATCAGATGCTGACATTAAAGTAAGTTTGAATTCAAGATAGAAATTTTATGAATTTATCAATTTTTATTTATAGCATATTTATTAATTTCTCATTACTAATTAGGAATTGTTTGCGGAATTTGGACCACTAAGGAAGGCTGCTGTCCATTATGACAGATCTGGTCGCTCTCTTGGTACAGCAGATGTTGTTTTTGAAAGGCGTAGCGACGCAATTCGAGCTATGAAGCAGTATAATGGTGTTCCTTTAGATGGTAACTTATTTTTATTGATATTGTTTTGTAAATTTGTAGTTCTTGCTGAAGAACAATCTTTGTTTTTCAAAGCAATTTTTAAAAGACTTCAATTCATAATTAATCATAAAAATTAAATTAATTCTTTTTAATTATCAAGAGCTTTGTTCAAATGATATTCTTGATGTATTTGTAGATGAATCTTAAAAGTTCTGAAAATGTTTATAATAAATTAAATTAAGACATCATCAGTTAATTGATAGGGTTGTTTATTTAGTTTTTTGAAAACTTTTTGTGTTAATTATAATCAAAATTTTTTTGTCATATAGTTTTCTTTATCAATGAAATCACATAAAATTATATTATAATTAAAAATAACTTCACATAAAATAGGGTCTTATAAAAGGAATGCTACCATTTTAAATTACTATAATCGTGTTAATTATTATCGGGAAGTATGCATTGTACACCAATTGAAAGACTAACCATCCAAGATTCTCTTGTCTACATTCATATATTCTCTCTAGGAAATGCCTTCTCCGTAAATAGCAACTTTGCAATAGAGAAGGCATTTTGCATTCTGTAGTTTGCAAAACCTGACTTAGTTGTCATCGCTTCAGCATGAGTAATCTGCAGGAGCCATAGAATTGTGACTGCCAGGGGAGGAATGACAATGGATATGTACAGTACCATAATGAGCATAGGAAAAATTTGAGTTGAGTCAGCTGGATGTATGCTATACGACACGAGGTGCACACATTGAGAAATTGTAATGGACAAATGTGAAACTTGGACATTTTCCAATGTTTAAAATATTGGAATTAATAATTAATGTAATTCCAATAATTTAAAATGGTAGCATTCTTTTTTGGAAGACCCTGCATTTATAACTTGAAAAAATTAACCTTGTAGAAAGAAGTGGACACAATTCTGAAATACAAAAAAATTATTTTTGTATAGTTTATCAGCTTTTATTTAACCTTATTTTTTTCTTCCTTATAACTTTAACTCTGTGAATATACTTCTTAGCTTTCATTTGCCTGTTTGATATGAAATTTCAAGTTACACTTACAGTCTACATGAATATCATACTACATAATGGTCAGAAAACTTACAAAAATATATGTAATATATACTTAGTTTATAAAAAGAAACTGTATAAGTGTATGAAAGTTAAAATAATAGCGAGGTTGCGGCCGATGTTTTCAACACAAAAACGTGTATGCTGGATGTTCAGCGCCACCATGCTGTAAGCCTAGAAGTTTGACAGTGGCTTTTGGAACATCAGTGAAATCATGCTCGGCGTTCCAAATGCCATTGTCAAACTTCTAGGCTTACAGTACGGCGGCGCTGAGCATCCGGTGTACATGTTTTTGTGTTGAAAACTTTGGCTGCAACCTCACTAATGGACTAGAAGGACTGCATGTGGCTCATGAGTCACAGTTTGTCCAATGTAGCTAAAGTTATTTTCAGTAATTTTAAAAATATCTCAAAATTATACATGTAGGAAATTAAAAGATGAAATTTATTTCTAATAGGTCGCCCAATGAATATTCAGATTGTAACCTCATCATTGCCTGCCTCTGGACGAACTGGCAGAGGGGCTAAAGGAGGAGGTGCAGGACAACGAAACTCATTTGGAAGGTAGGTGTTACAGTGTTCATTTTACAGCACTAAAAAAATTTAATAATTATTGTATTTAGTTGTTCTTTATTATATTGTTTGGACACAAAATTTAATCATCTCGATTTTCAGTAGAGGTAGGGGGCGAGGTCGAGGTGGAAGAGGAAACCTGACACGAAAAGTGCCAACAGCAGAAGAATTGGATGCCGAGCTGGATGCTTATGTGAATAAGGTGACTTTAATTTGTTATAAAATTTTAACCATAATTGCCAGATTTTACACTAGATTAGATGTTAGCTAAATGCAATGTTATAGACATGTTACCATTTTGGCAGTTTTGGTTATTTGGCTAGTATTATCTGGATTTGTGTTTTAAATTTACATATATTAATTGTAAATATATAATTTCCATTTGTAGATGGACTGAGTCCTTTGGGAAAGAATGTTTTCCAGGTGAAATTCTCCCATCCACCACCATATAATCTGAGTCAATATTTTGTATCACCTTGTAAACTTCCCATGATGAAAAGCAGTGTTGTTTTCTTTATCAGAATTTTTTATGTATAAATTTAACCATCTCTTATAAGAGATGTGCATTGATTACACAAATTACCGAAAGTAAATTTTCTTTATTCTATATGTGTGTGTATGAAAGCTGTGTATAGGAAAAGCGTAATATTTTGTTTAGTAAAGTCCGACAATTGAATTCATCCAATCATCTCTTATTTCACCGAGTATACGTTTTAACACATCACATAATTCATCTTACTTTTTTTTTTAATCATTTGTCTGTGTGTACTTCGAAATATACTGTAAATGAAACACTTTACGAGAGAATAAAAACAAGTTGTTTTTTATTGTACGACTGAGAATATTTTTAATAAAAGATCAATTTTATGAAGAGTAGATAATGATGCAGCAGAATTTCTTCTTATTTTAGTTGCATTAATGTAATTTAATTGCATGGTTTTTCTTAGATTGTAATGTATGACTACATATTTAGTTTATTAACTTTTTAAAACTTGTGGAAAATCTCTATATCAGTTTTAAAGTATAGTCTACAGCAGTGATTCCCAAACTTTTTCAAGCCATCACCCCTTTGGTTCCATAAACTTATACCCAATGTCCTTTGTGGCTTGGAAATATTCTTAGAAAAACTTCTATGAAACTCTCACTTTGTTTTTTGTTATACGTTGTTCTCCACATCTGGAAACTATTATATGCAATGTTTCTTCTTACCCATTTTAATAGAGGAAAAGAAAAGGTGGCCATGCCCCATGGGCAGGATCCTGATTCAGTGCCCACTTGATCTTTTGCTTCCCTAGATTTACTCGTCACCCACTTTGGGAACCACTGGTCTACAGCAAGGTGTTAGTCAAAACATCATGAAAATCTAAGTTTGAATATTTTTTGCGAGTTATACAAATTATGGCATTGTTTCCCCATCACAAACAAATCGGTCATAATGAGTATAACTGGCCGGTTGTATAAGCCTACAATGCGCTGGTATTAATCAAGCATCCAAGATAAGTTATGTGATGAAAGTTATTGAAGGAGTTAACAAATGACTAATGAAAAATATGTATATAAGAACTTAATTAATGAAGCTTTTTAACTTCATCTTGTGAGCATTAAGAGACCATTTTTACAACTTGGCTTACAATGGGATGGGCACCAACATATCTGAGACTTAACTGTCCATGAAAAATTTATTTGTATGGTTCGGAGCTGAAAGGAGCCAAAGAATTACTTGAACTGATAATATAAAATCAACTTTTAGCTATATTAAGACAATAGTCTGGATCTATCCCATGTCTTCCAGAGTGATAGGCTAATGTCTTTATCATGGTAAAAGCACCGTGAGGCCACTCGTGTGTCTTTGGATTGGACTGATGATTAAGATGAAGCTCCTAAAAACCTAATGTCCAAAAGTTTGCCAGAACATCACTTTCAGATTTGATCCCAGATACTTTTCTAAGTGGAACAATGAAATTGGCAACTGCCTCAGCCATCAGATCTTAATTGAAAAAAAAAAAAAAAAAAAAGCAGTATACAGAAAGCCATTGATACAAAAGTCTTCTTATTCATCGAGTCCAACCAGAGTAACAATGGGGCAGCCAGTTGATGAGAGACGTCCAGGATGGACTACCCCAGAAAAAATTCATGGTTTTCGACCAGACCATATTTAGTCTCAACTTCCACCAGAGGTAAGTTTTTTTTTTTTTAACTTTTAGTACCCTGTGGGCACTAAAAGGGCCTCTTTTAGCAAGCCCATTATGGATTCGGCCAGACCCACAGTGGGGTGGCCTGGTGGTGAGGGACAGAGCCCGAAATATCCAGACGAACTATCTAAAAAATCTCTGGGGATTTTTCGAATCCGAACCTGGGTTCCCAGAGCACCTTGGCTGCCACCTTGACCGCTTGGCCATCCAGTCCTCACCAGAGGTAGGTTGACATCTTAATCCATAAGTTTTTTACACTGTTATATTTATATATTAAAAATAACAGCTTTTTTCAGTATCTAGGCGACATTTTTTTAATTCCGCCCTGTGGGCACTAAGGTTAAGTTCGTTTTTACCCTACCCCAAAAAATAAATCTGGGGTGGTCCGTCCCTCACACCCGGCCGCCCCATTGTGGGCCTGACCGAATTGATAATGGGTTTGCTGTAGGGGCTCTCTAAGTGCCCACAGGGCGAAAATAGTTTTAAAAAAGTACTTGGTAATTGCATAAAAATGTATAAAAATTTCGTTCGATTATAAAGGCTAGTGGTAAATTATTTTCACATACTTTTTGTTTGTGTACGACAACGCAACACGTGAGCGATCTACCGAAGGGGATACTAGTCGAGAGAACTTTTTATGGAAAACTGGCTCTAAGTATTACTAATGTGAATAAACCCCGGAAAACTCAACTTAGCAAGCCTGTTGGCCAGGCGCAAATCAGTGTTCGATGGAGTTTATCCACTCGGCCACCTTTATTTAAAGTTATTACATAATTAAACGACTAGTCCATCTAACATGGACCAGTCGTTTTCTTCCAAAGCGTACCGATTAAAAAGAAATGGAACCGATGCCATTTGTTATATGTCAACAAGGTGTTTCTGATATGCAGCTATTTTCCTCAATCACCTATACTGTAAGTAATAGACTGGCAAAGTAGCATAGTTCCTGGAAGTCGCTATTGCTAAGACAGGCAAAAAGCTGCGCATCTCACTTATATAAACGGAGTAATTTATTTGTTTTTTCGTTCCAAAATTTGACGAATACTTACTGTTAAATTAAGTTTTGCATTAAAATCACCGAGGAAATTAATTCTAGACCTTTTTCAAACGGTTGGTAGAGTTAGTAGCACAACAACTTGATGGCCGAACTTCGTGTGCAAGTGCAACACCATAAATGTCAGTAAGAATTGCTAAAAAGATTATGTTAAAAATTATAATTTCTATCAGTTTAGTGTGTAGTTGAACTCGCTTAAAAATATGAGCGTAGTTTCTTAGGTGAAGGCTAACAAAAACATAGGACTCTGATGATAAGAGTGCACATTTTGCCTGTCATAGCAATGGCGCCGTACTCAGTATCTTTGCCAATCTATTACTTATAGGTCTTTGATTTTCCTTTTGCCCGCTGCAGCATGCTTGTCAGAGTTAACTTTTTTTTATTATTATTTCAAATTGCACTTTATACTGTTACTGAAATTGTCACGTCACCTTGCTTTACATGTAGGTACTATATGTAAAATATTCCATTTACAAATACGAAATTAATGAAAACTGAAACTTTAGTTGTTTATTTTTTAAGATTAAATTATGATTTTTGCTCCAATCACTATTGAGGATGTTTTCTAGTTAGTGGTACCGGAACCATTCATTTAAAACTCATTTGATATAAGGTCTTAGGCCTATAAAGGAATGCGCTTAGATTTTTTATTTTGATGTTCAATTGCTATGAAAAAGTACCTATTGATTTTAGAATAAAATATTTTGGGCCGATGAATCCAAGTTCACCAATAATGAGGTTTTCAATCGGAAAATCTCGATAATATGGGAGGCAGAAAATCTTTGTTCGGCATTTTCAACAGGTCATCAAATACAATAAGAAATGCACGTTGTGAGTTGCTAAGTGCCCAATTGATAGGAATTTTCTATTTTAGCAGAAATTTACGATTTTTTTTAATAGAAAACCCAGTTATCAATTATGCTGGAAAGACATCTTTTAATAGAGAATACCTATTTCAACAAGACGGCTCCCCGCATGTAATTCATAAAACGTTATTTAGATTATACTTTTGGTACATGTTGGATAGGAACATAAGGGCCTATCCAACATATTTACCTGATTCTCTGATTTAACACCAATGGATTATTTTCTGAGAAATCATCTTAAAAATAACATGTATGAAAATAGTAATGAAATCGCTACTGTAAAAGCATTGAAGAAACGTATTGTAATATGTTCAAACAATCCATGTCAAGTTCTCCACGACGCTACACATAAAACGTGTTCAACAGATTTTACCACAGACACATGGAGGGCACTTCGAATAATTTTGTAAATAAAAACATTTTCACGCACAGTGTTGATTTACTATTAAACGATACAAATATCTGCATAACTCGATAGGCATAATGAATTTCAAAAATTTTTGCTTCGTTTTGCCCAGGATCTCATGCTTTTCCCGACGATATATATACACACTAGCACAGTGTGCCATTTTAAATGAAAAAAGTTGATAACGTTGGCACGTGTGCTGAATTGGGTAGAAGGGAATACAATTGCGTATTAGTGCGTTTGTTTGTTTAGTTAAGTTACAGCAACGCAACACTTGGGCGATCTAGCTTAGGGGAAAAATGTCTTCCGGGAGGTCTTTTTAAGGGTAACTGGCTCCTCTATTCAATTACAGTCGTAGTGAAAACCCGAAGAAACTCCACATGGCCAGCCAGTCTTGGTGAGGCGCGAACCCACGACCGAACTCTCAAGTGTTCAGGGCACGGAATCGCTTGACCACTGTGAGTCGAATTGCGTATCAGAAGCATAAAGTGGATGTATGACAAATCACATCAGTTTCCCTTCTTTACGTGGCATGATTTCGGAGAAAAAGGGTTAGGCCACGTTACCTGAACCACCCGATATACGCTATATATATATATATATATATAGTATATAACACGAAATTATTCTAAAAATAAATCTATACGCGAAAGGGATCTTCTATTAAAAATAATATTGTAATTCACGGAGAATTTATATTTTCAATATTCTAATATTTCTGACGATAATTTTTTGAGTATAATTAGGCATATTTTTTTCATTCGCGAGATAAAAAAAAAACATCGAATTAGGTTCGATTAGACACAAAATTAATAATAAAACTTTCAAACTTTCACAGATTACTTTTCTTCGATTGTTAATAAATATAAATAATCCCCTCGAAGAAAGATAATAATTTAAACCGAAATAACCACAAAATAAATAAGCACGCAGTCACAAAACAATTTTATCGGGTAATTAGTCTTTAATGCGGGATTGATGTTGATGAGTGACGTCATCATCCGTATCGGAAGAAGGACTTTTAAGTTTGTTTATATTTTGGTTCGACAAAAACGATGGACGGAACGAATCTGAGAGAACAAGTAATGATAAACCAATTCGTACTAGTCGCAGGATGCGGTAAAGAACAGGCTAAACAGTTCCTTCAAGCGTCACACTGGCAGTTTGAGGTTTGTTATTAGTAAACAAACATGGCGTCGCTTTTGTTTTGATTCATTTTTTTAAAAATAAACTTTAATAAATTTATCTTTGTTTATCGTTGCAGACTGCGCTCAGCTTGTTCTTCCAAGAGGCCACGGTACCCAGCTGCCACCAAAGGGGTCATTTTAATCCGGTAAGTTCGCAGTTATTATCGGCCCGTAATCGATTCAACGTTATCTGGTCATGTGCCACCATAAACCACGTGACCTTTTATTGTGGGGGGGAATTACATAATGTTTCCTTGTCATTGTTTACTTGTTAAACTTGAATTTTGTTATCGGCTTAAACGTACTTATTAATGTAAATATATTATTATTATTTTTTTTTTTTTTTTTAGTCCCTGTGAAAATATAGTTGTAAAATAATGTAAAATTATTATAATTTTGTGTGTGGTTAGTGTTTAAATTTAGCTTTAATTTCTGGAATAAGTTGTAAACGAAAAAAAAATATTGGTTAAATTCGAAAACAAAGGTAGAGTCGCATTCGAATTTGCGAGTTAATCTGTTTCGGAATAACGGTTGAGGTTACTTATCGCTTATTGTAATGTGAATTGCATATCACAGTCAGAAATGGTTAAGCTAGATTCGGGGTGCGACTATGCAGACGCCAGCGAGCAAGAAGAGGTGATGACGTTTTGCTCTCTCTGTTTCTCGCTCTCGCCTGTGTGGTTGCAATAAACGAGAGCGAGAAACAGCGTGAAACATTGTCACCTTGCCTGCTCGCATCTATGTAGTCGCACCCTTGCGTTGGCATACTGTTGTGAAGTAGGTACAATCTTCCAATTTGTCCTCTTTCGGTGATCCGAACAATCGCCGGAAGTGGACCGGTTCGTCAAATTGAAAACGTATCGATTTTTACCAAATTTTGGTTTGTTTGATCAATTGACTTTTCAAAACTAGCATTCGGAACTTTTTTGACCAGTCGTGTTCTAACTCTGTTTCTGTTGTATGGTATGATGCAAATAGCGTTTCACTTTGATTAGTGTCTGTTTTGTTTATTCATTTGTTTGTAGTAGTTCATAGTGTGAATGTAGCTCTAGACAGTAATTTCCAAACTTTTTCAAGCCACTGTTCCCTTGGTTCTGTAAACTTATATCGAATGGCCCTAACCCATTTTCACTTCTGTGAGAAAGTCTTGGAAATATTCGTAGAAAACTTTTCTATAAACCTCACACTTTGTCCTTTTTGTACATTTTTCTCGAGGTATGGAAACCATTAAATGCAATGTTTCTTCATATCTGTTTTAACGGAAGAAAGGAAAAGGTTGTCGGTGACCCCAACCAGTAATCATCTATGGTTACTGTTTGATATCCTGCCTCTAGCACCCCCTGCCATTCACTAGCTTCTTTTCACTCCTTAGTTTTACTAGCTTATTTTCACTAGCTACTTCACTAGCTTCTTTTCACTTTACTACTCACTAGCTTCTTTTCACTTCCTAGACTCACTGGGGCAAGGGGATAGTGATTAAATCTCCCATTTTGGGAAACACTGCCCTAGACTAATAGATGAAAATGCCTTTTATTTGTTTTTTATATAGTGAATATAGGTAGTGCCCTATTTATTGCTTTTGGCTGAAAAAAAGTAGTAAAAAAGGGGGATATCTAAATGTAGGAAAGAAATTCTCTATTTTTTGTTTTGGATTTAGTGTCAGTTGCTAAACGATGTCCCTTTTATTAACCATATTTTTATTTTTTTCCTTTCAAAATACTGTATTATCATTAGTGCTTCTTGGTGATGCATTGTTTATTGACAAGAACTTAGAGAGAGCAGACAATTACCAGACTATATTGTCAGTTTATTGAAAGATGGCCTGCAACCAAAGTAGTTTTCCACTCCATTTGATTTTTACATCAGGTTCAATTGGCTCAGAGTATTTGTTGTGGCTGATAGTAGCCCAGTTTGTTTCGTTTGTTTTTATTATTTGAGTCATCAGACTTCTTGCCTGAACTTATGAAAACACAATCTTTTTTACTGAGAAACTGCTAATACTATGTACTGGCTAGCAATACTTTTTGTGCTATCTGTTAGTAAGGTATATCTGCACATTCCAGCTAAAAAACAGCCTTGAATATAAACATATTTGACATATTGAATATAGATAACAGTAAGAGATGAATGGTATATTAAAATCTTAATATAATATTCAATAAATTACTCATTGAATTTTACATTTCAATATTTTGTATTTTTATACAAAAAATTAAAAATTTAGAGATCATAATACCTTACTAGAAGTAGAAATTAAAACAAGATAGATTATTGTAATGTGAAAATATGCAAGTAACTTGAGAAATACATAGAATTTCAAATAGAAAATATATTGTATTTATTCAAAGTTAGCATACATTCTCATTTGAAATCATGAAGCCAAAAATTTATTTGTTGGCTAATGTAATGCATGCCTGTAGCAAATACAATCTCATGAAAACAGTACTAAAATAATGAGCATAAAGGGTATAAAATGACAAATAACACAAAAAAGGAGGATAAGATGATGGAGAAAACCTAGCAGATACCAAGTATAAGGGAAAGAAAAGAGATGGAGGGACTGTAGCAGCAACAGCTTATAACTGAGTGATAATTAATGTTCTTGAGTTTGCACTCAAATCTACTGTGCTATCAGTTCTAATATTCATCATAATTTTAAAAGTAAAATCTGTATATTTGATAAGCATACAATACATAAAAATTTATCTATGAAAGACAATTAAAACTGTTATCTAGAAATTTAGGAAATATAATTTTAGTATTATTATTCACTTTGTTAAGTTTCTCATGCATCCATAATGTGTCAAAAGTATATTTAATAAAAGATTTTTTTGGGTCTGTTGGTTTCCAGTTTTATGCAGTTATAAAATTCTAAACAAGAATTAAGAATTTATGCCATATATGTATTCTATGAAATCTATTTTTTACTTGTAAAATATCACTATAATTTGTGTTTCAATTTTGTTTACGTTGTTGAGATTTGAGTTTAGGAAAACATTATTTTAATTTCAAAACATAAACCCTTGTAGAAAAAATATCTGAATACTTATCTTCTTTTAATACAGTATTTATTTGTTTCAATAATCTACATATAAATTTTTCTGCAACTAAGTCAGTCAGACCACATACTTTAATATATATTATTCCTTATTTATAAAAGATTACTAACAAGTGCTAAAAATCTTAATCTTTATTACAGTCTCTACTCTTCATAAAATACTTTATATCAATCATTTGTTTACAAACTCTAAAATTTTCCATCATTTATTTCAGTTCAGTTTTATCTCCTGAACAGTCTTTACTCTCGTGTCTCGTCCCAAAGGATTAAGATTTGGGTTTTGAAATGCTGACATAGACAGCCTAATGTTTTAGATGGTCACATTTAATTCAGTTTGCTACAATGTAGACAATTTCATATGTTTCATTGTCCTGTTAATAAAATATGTACCGTCTCCAAAATAAATTATAATGTTGTAGATAACGTTTAATTATCTGTGACATCTAGACATTTCTTGGCATTTGTAGTTTAGTCTAAAACAACTAATGATCAAAGGCCAAATTATAAAAAACTGCTGCAGTCATCACACTGTCTGATTATTATAAATTTATTAATAGCCATATTTATAAATTTGGAAATTTTTTCACGGAAAATTATGTATATACATATACAGGACTATCTCTATTATGAATAATTATTAATTTATATGATTTTTATTAATTGGTAGAGTTCATTATTATAAATTTATTAATTGACTAGAAATTCAGTATACAGTGGAACCTCGGTATATGACCTTAATCTGTTCCTGATGTTTGGACTTATACCAAATTAGACATATACTGAACCAACCTTTCCCATAAGAAGTAATGTAAAAATGATTAATCCGTTCTCATGTAAAAAAATCGCTGGCTTTAAACACCTTGCTTTCCTGGCTAGTTCCTGCTTGATTTTTCATGAGATCAGCATGTATCTTTTTAGCTTTCTCGCAAATAATTGCTTCTGATACGCTGTTGCCAGCATACTGTTTTTCAGTTATCCAAAGCAAAAGCAATTTCTCAACATGATCTAATGTCTTCAATCTATGTTTAGAAATTGATTTAACCCCTTTCACAACATTAGCAAATTTAATGTCTTTATTTTTCACGATTGTTGATATTGTCATTCTCGGAATACAGTATGCAACAGTTAAATCTCAAACACACATGCCACCTTCGTATTTCTCAACAATCTCTTTTTTCAGTTTCATTGTGATTTTAGTCATTTTTTATTTTTCTGTTGCCTTTTTGCAATTCATGATTAATAAAAATAATAACATTTTACTTACAAATTAAAATAAAAAGAAATTTAACAAAGTTATAAACTGTGGCACTGCGAATGTCTAGTCTGGTCTAATACACCGATGGTTCTACTTGTTCATAGATGGCGTGTATAATTGAATTAAGTCATATACCGAACAAAGGTCATATACCGAGCAAAATTTTGTTTCGTCCAAACAGGACGTATTCTAAAGCAGACGTATACTGAGGTACCACTGTAGTTTCTNTCCCAAAAAATTATACGTGTTTTGGAAATGTTGAGTCGAATTAGTCTAGAATCGGTTAATTTTATAGAAGAAAACCTTTCGAACAGCCTTAGTCCGTAAAGTTCCCACCTATCGGGCTGCGATTGGCTCATGTATTTAATCGTTCCTACAACGTAATTTTCGGTTAGCGTGGAACGTATCTAAGCGTTATAGGGGGGTCTACTGTAACACAAAAAAGGAGGATAAGATGATGGAGAAAACCTAGCAGATACCAAGTATAAGGGAAAGAAAAGAGATGGAGGGACTGTAGCAGCAACAGCTTATAACTGAGTGATAATTAATGTTCTTGAGTTTGCACTCAAATCTACTGTGCTATCAGTTCTAATATTCATCATAATTTTAAAAGTAAAATCTGTATATTTGATAAGCATACAATACATAAAAATTTATCTATGAAAGACAATTAAAACTGTTATCTAGAAATTTAGGAAATATAATTTTAGTATTATTATTCACTTTGTTAAGTTTCTCATGCATCCATAATGTGTCAAAAGTATATTTAATAAAAGATTTTTTTGGGTCTGTTGGTTTCCAGTTTTATGCAGTTATAAAATTCTAAACAAGAA